ATGTCTTGTTAGGAAGACCACTTCGTAGTCGGTGTAGAGGGCTGACCACTGCACTGTATTTCTGAAGCTGATGTTGAATAACATTGCATGTCAACTATAATTATATATACGTATAGTCACAGGGTGTGGAGTAGAGAGTGGGAATGGAGTCAATGGAGTTATAATAGATGAGTATGACATCGGGGGTAGGGGGGTTGTTTCTGTGTGAAGGGTGAAAAGGATAACTATTGCATTGTTCTATACACCTGAAACCAACAATAAAAATTTTAAAAATTAAAAAATTAAAAAAAGAAGCAGGGCTGATCCTATCAGTATCTTAATTCTTATCCAACAGGGAGGAAGAGATGTAGTAGTCACTCACATCACCCAGGAAGGGGGATATTCACTCATTTTTGTGGTTTGGATAATGTTCTTGTTTTATTCTCTTCTCTAACATTATTATGGAGAAGACTTTTTTTTTCTTTCTTTTTTTTTTTTGTCTTGATCCATTTTGTATGGTGTTGGTGTTCTGTGACATCAGACAAAGAGAGCACCACAGCCTGGCTCTGAGTGCCAGGCCAGCTCCTCGGGACACCAAGGCCCCACTCCCAGTCTAGCTCCCAGCTGTCAAGGGCTGCTCTCCCCTTTCACACATCCTTTTTCCTGGAAAATGCACCTATGCAGACTTGCATACTATTTCAGAGGCCACCATGAAAGCCCCTGTGTGGACCTCATGACTGAAAATCTCCTTCAAGAGCTGGGAATTTAGCCGCCAAATCTGGGAGGTTCTCAGAGACACAAAGCAACTCTGACTCTTGTTTCCATGGATTTCCGTTACTCCTGAAAACAGATTGATTCTGCATGTTTAATGTGACGTGACAAACCTGTCATCAAGGACATGATCTTTTACTTTGATTGGGAGATTAAAGCAGTCCTTCAGTCCTTCAAATTAGAAAGAAGGAAAGGAAGGAAGTGAAGAGGAAGAAAGGGAAGAATGTAGGAGAGAGGGTAGAGGAGAAGAGAGGGAAGGAAGAAATGGAGGGAGGGAGGGGCTTGTTTTAAGGCAAGATGAGAACTTCATTTCTAAGAACCTTCTGGATCCTTCTCAGTTGGCAGCCACGTTGGCAGGAGCAGATCTGTTCCTTGGAACACAGTGTCCACTCCTTCACTGTTTTCATCATTATAATTAGATATGTGTGCACAACGTTCACAGTCATGAATTATATAACCCTGAGGTGTCCAAACCAGGAAGAACCTAGAGCTCGTCTCATCCAAGTCCTTCATTTGCAGCTGGGAAAACCGGCCCAGAGGAGTGGCTTGCCAGTGGTCGCAGGGCTGTGACGTGCAAGGGCTGGGACCCCAACCCGAGGCCTCTGACAGCCTAGTGTTCTTGCCCACACACACATGAGCAGAGGTTACTGAGAAATCGATTTTGGCTCTCCATAAAGAAGCATTTTCTTATAGCCAGAGCCGTTGAAAGATAGGATAGGCCCTCTAGGAGGGACCTAGTTCTCTCTCACTACCTCCTTCCAGAAATGTCACAGGAGCCATTCAAGGTGGGAGGTTGACCCTGACGACATCCACTGTCCCTTCAGCTCTGAGAGTCCATTAATAGAAAAAGAAAACATCTGCTTTCCTTCTTTAAGCCTCCATTTTCTCATCTAAAAATAGGAAAGTATGAATAATTCCCACTTCAGAGGGTTTCTGAGACACTTATAGGAGATAATATAGATCAACGCATGTAAAATACCGAGCACAGTGCCTGGCATGATAAATGTAACTTGCAGTTGTTAACCATACATTCCCGTCACATAATAAGTGATGAATTCAAAATGCCTTGCCTGGCATCATACTGATTGCGTTTTGTGGAGTATCCTGTCGGCAATTCACAACCATCCTGGGACGATTGTCACCATCCTTACTGTTAGGCAGGAAGCAGCTGAGACACTTGGAGGCTAAGCTGTGTACCTTCACAAGGTCTAGGGCGTCTTTTGGGCTCTGGGGCCCATGCTCCTAGCTTCTGAGCTGGACGGCCTTCTCACACACTGGAAGGTGGTACATTGTCATTGTGTCATCTCAGCAAAGACTCTGCCTCCCTTTAGCACCCCCCCCTTCCCCAATAGCTGTGTTTCATCAGATGATCTCTAAACTGTCTCCCACGCTAGGACACCAGGTGAGGCAGATGAGGGCTCAGGGCACAGGGGACTAGAGCAGTGGGAACACTGACGCTGGTGTAGAAAAATGAAGGAAGGTGGCTCCAGAGAGAAACTCAGTAGATTTGCAAAATGTGCCCTGAAATCACTACTACATTGATACAACGCAATTTGTAGGACTCTGAATTAACAGGTCCCCCTACCTCCCCTCAAAGGACTCGAATTTGCCAGTAGGGTTGACATTTTATCCCTTGTGAGCCTCCTACATAGAATCATAAAATACTGAAGTTTGAAGATCTCCTAGAGATCATCTAACCAACCTTCCCCCATCTCACAGGTGAGGAGACAGGCCAGGAAGGAGCAGGGACTCCCTAAGGGTCCCACAGGGGAACCGGGGCTGGAACCAGAGAGCCAGGCTCCTCTTCCCTGGTATCCGTACCTGGCAGCTCCTCCCATCAGGTGGGCGTAAAGGGCCGGCAGAGACCAGCGCCCCGGGTCGGGTCCAGGGCTAACACTTCTAGCACATGAGATGAGAGAAATCAGAACTGTCCTGGAAAGAGGGTTTTATGTGTGGCTGGAGTTTTAGCCTTTGGGTGTGTGTGTGTGTGTGCGCGCACGCGCTCTGTTGGTGTTGTCAGGGGTAGGTACAAGGGGAGTTGCAGCTGACTGTAAGGCAAGAGAAATTGGAGCTGAGGAAAAATAATTTGGCTTAGTAATTTTTTTCCAAATAGAGAATCTTTAGGAAATTAGAGCTAAGACTGAACTCTAATTCTCTAAGCACAGAAAAAGAGGAAGGAAATATGCCCAGATAGGAGTAGAAAGCAGAAAGGAGGTTTCCTGGGTGTGTCGGGGCCTTGGAGCACCTTCGGTCATCATTCATCGTCCTCTTACTGTCTCCTTTCACCTCTAAAGGCAGGAGAAACAGCCCCTTGGTTTGGCTGCAGTGTGTGTGTGTGTGTGTGTGTGTGTGTGTGTGTGTGTGTGTGTGTGTCAGAGACAGAGACAGAGAAAGGAGTTGCTACTATAGAGAAGTGCAGCCGTGAAGAAGTAAGAACTGCCCTGATCTGTGACGCTGGGAAAGTTCCTGACCCTCAGTTTGGTCTGTGTGTGTGCGCTCGTGTGTGTGTGTGTGTGTGTCAGAGACAGAGACAGAGAAAGGAGTTGCTACTATAGAGAAGTGCAGCCGTGAAGAAGTAAGAACTGCCCTGATCTGTGACGCTGGGAAAGTTCCTGACCCTCACGGGGCCTCTCAGTTTGCCCCTCTAGACAAAGACAGCAGCATTATCAGCCTAGAGGGTGGTCAGAATTAGAAGTAATGCCTCTTTGACAACTCACAGTGGGTGACAGCCAGCAACAGCTGGCTGGCTGTGTGATCTCTAACCCCCACAGCTCTCTGTGCCTCAGTTCTCTCTTTTGGAAACGAGGTAACAGTTTCTCCTGGTTCAACTTGGGGTGGTTGCAGGATGAAGTAAGATCAAATGAAAGAACTTTTAAACTGTAGAATTTTAAACACATATGGAAATAGCGTTAATAGTCAAAAGCATCTTTGTGCTAGGATACTACAAGCAGAGACCTTCTGATGTGCTCTTGAAAAACTGGGACAGGTCCACTATCTTAAAAAGCAATCTCCCCCAGTGCCTCTAAGTTCCCTAAGTTAGAGCTTCGTTTCTTTGGTCCTGGAAGCTCTCCGTCTCAGAGCAGTGCTTCACAAAGCGCCGTCCCCTGACCAGCAACATCCCCATCCCCTCAGGGCTGTTAGAAATGCACATTCTCAGGCCCCGCCACACACCGACTGTCAGACACTTCTGGGAGTGGAGCCCAGAGATCTATATTATAAAAGGATCTCTAGGAAAAACACAGGCACATTGAAGTGTATAAGAAGTATTGTTTTAGAACTTGTGAAAATGCAGATTCTGAATTCGTAGGTTTGGGGTGGCCTGAGAGTCTTCATCCCCCAGGTGATGCCTGTGGTGTTGGCCTAACAAGGTTACAGAGTGTCCTATAAAGTCAGGGGTTCTTGCACGAAGGGCAGCGGTCCTTTATAAGCCAACACGGAAGTGGAGAGTAATTGTGCACGAGGCCTCTCAGGAACGGGTTGCGGAAAAGGCAGAGGGATTCTGGGGACAAGAGAAACTCAGGGCATCAAACACAAAAAGGCCTTAAGAATGAAAGACAAGGGAGGAGGGCGCTAAATGAAAAGTAGGCTGCCTTTGCAGAACGTGCGAGGGCAGGTCTGGGCATTAATTAATACATTAACTCACCAAGATCCGCCTATGTGTTAGGCACTGTTCTATCTTATTTACATTCATCAACTCAATTAGTCCACAGAACAACTCAATGAGCTTGGTACTATTAGCTCCATTTTACAGAGGAGCAAACTGAGAAACAGAAAGGTTAGGTAACTTGCCCAAGGTCACTCAGCTAGTAAGTGGTAGAGCAGAGACTTAGAACTAAGGCAACCTGACTCATTAGCACTAGACTATTCTGCCTCAAATAATAGTCTCTGCCCTCAGGGAGCTTACAGCCCAGTGACATATCTGAGCTAGAACTAATGGCCCATACCTGACTGATGCTTATTATGTGCCAGGCACTATTCCAAGCACCATACACATATTTACTTCTTTAGCTCTTGTAGCAATCCTAGGAGACAGGGGAGGGTGCTGCAGAATGGGCCTGGCTGTGTGCAGAACTGCGTAAAACAGGTCTCTCTATTTCTGGAAGCTTATGAGAGTTGCTTGAATCGCCGAATGGTCCAAGCCCCATGTCCTAGGCAGAAAAGCTCAATCCAGAAATGGCTTCTGCAAAGGAAGCCTCAGAGTCCAAGCCCCACTTTGTGTCCTCAGCTCCCACCCCTCACCATTTCCTTACCTGGCCTCCAGGACAGGTCTCACTGTGCTAAAGAGCAGGTGCACTTGTCAGCTCTTTTGCTCACCCATCTCCCATCACCAGGCCCAAGTTCATGCCACAGATTGGTATCCTTGCGTGCACTACCCCAGACAGGCCTGCGTGGCCAGGCTGGTCAGTCGCTTCTGCTGCTGAGCGCCCTGACACACCATAGATGGCAGCTCTGACCTGCCCACCCCTATTTCTGCCCCATGCCCTTCCTCCATCCCTCCCCCACATACCAGAAATCACTGCTTTGGCACTTGGGATTCAAAAGGTTGCCTAACAAATAAAAACTGATCTTACCTCTTTGCAAAGCAATTTGACAATACATTTCAAGAGCCAAAATATGTGTATATCCCTTGATCCAGTAATCCCCCTGTTGGGTTATTTGTATACAGGGGGAAAAAAGTTCACACACAAAGATCTTCTGTGCAGAATTAATTATTCATTCAATAAATATTTATTAAGTACCTCCTATGTGCCAGGCACTGTTCTAGATGGTGTAATCAAGATAAACAAAGTTCCTGCTCTCCTGGGGATTATGTTATTATTGGAGAGAAAGACAATAAATACCCACATAAATGAGAAAAGTAATATATTTACTAAATTCTCTGCAGAGAATTAAAGGTCTGTGATAGAGAACTGGTGGCTGCTCTAGATTGGGTGGTCAGGAAAGGCCTGTGAAATGTCACTAAATAAGATGACATTTAAGTTGAGATTCTCATGACAAGAAGGGACAACCACATGAAAGCTCAGAAAAGAGCATTCCAGAAAGGGAGGCCCGTGGTCCTGGGGACCTCAAGAAGGCCGGTGTGGCTGGATCGAGGAAAGCAAGTGATGGAAAGTAAGGTTGGAGGAACGAGAGATGCCAAGCTAGTAGGATTTTTTAAGTGTGGGTGAGATGTTTGCATTTTGCTCAGTAGAGTATATGAAGCAAGGGCATGAGACCAGACTGTAAATGTGAGAGAGGCACAGAAACCAGTTCGGAACTATTGCAGCTGTCTTGGCGAAAGGTGATAGTAGCTTGGACTATACAGAATGGTAGAAATGGAGATGAAAGGAAATGGACGGTTTCGGGATATGTTTGGAGGTGGGACTAAAAGGGTTTGCTGACGTCGAATCTATAATCAACAAGCTCCCAATAAATAAAAGTCCGGGGCCAGATGGCTTCACAAGTGAATTTTACCAAACATTCAAAAAAGAATTATTACCTATTCTGCTCAAACTATTCAAAAAATTCCAGAAGGAGGGAAGACTCCCAAACTCTTTCTATGAAGCCACGATCACCCTGATTCCAAAAACAGACAAAGAAAGTACAAAAAAGGAAAACTACAGGCTGATATCTCTGATGAACACAGATGCAAAGATCCTCAACAAAATCTTAGCAAACAGAATTCAGCAATATATTAAGAAGATCATACATCA